AGAGAGATATATATATATATAGATGCTTACGGAAATCGAAACACTTACATGCTATCCGAATGTATTTGGGCCACGAAAGGCCCATCCTTATTTGTACCTGGAAAGACTCTGAACACACCTTGTAGTTTTTTAGGCTGCGCTCCAGGAGTACACATCAGTAACTAATCCTCTCGTCTAGCACGTGGTTTTAGCGTGAACTTCAAGAATTCATTACTTTAACCTTCAGATCTACCGAACAATAAACGGGTGTTCACGAATGTTCGATCGCAATAACATGCTGACATGCTAACACAACGTCGCTGATTGTTAACCTAAGCATTTAACTAAACTTACCCGATTTTGCTATAATATTTGGACACATCTCCAATTCATCTCATGACCGTTTCACTATAATGTAAATGATGTTCAAGCAGGCATTATCAAGATTATGCATATGGCATTTTATGAGTAAGTCACTCATGAATCCCTGGCTCGCAGGTTCGCATTGCTTCTTATCTGTTCATGAGTGGCTTGAACCGGCCCTTTTATCTACAAATGAACAAATGCTTAACTGCTGAATAGTTATCTATCTCTTTTGTATGAATGCTCCGACCAACTATTTCAGTATTAGCTAGGGTTAAGGATAAGTTATTGGTTAATGTCTTCTTGTTTGTTTATTAAGTTATGACATATTCATCACATGCTGATCCAATATTAACTCCATATTAACGAAACACAGAAGCAATGTTTGTTATTAGTTTACACGCATTGCTAAATCATACTTGCAACCTTCACAGGGGTTCTCGATGAGCAGTACTTAGGAATGAAACCAAACTCATTGCACTTGATTTCATTAAAACACAAGTTACTTACTAGTAGCACATGCATCGCAAATAGTGCTCGATCATTAGATAGCAGGTGGATGTTTTGGTGATCTTCGATATCGCAGCATCCGGTCGACACCATCTAACAGCAGAAGCCCTGCTTCGCGGTAGCCTTCCACGTCTTCCGCACAGTCCAGTTTTCGCGACCGCGTTCGGGCATTGCCTTGGGCAGGTATGCTGATACCAACCAGGGAATTATCCTGTCCTTGGCCATCGCAATGATCCATGGGCTGGCCGAAGGAGCGAGGCTCACCCTGATTTTGGCTTCCCAGCCGCATGCATTGGTGGAAGGCTTCACGCTTTGCTTCCGTACATCGAATTTGCTTGTTGCTGGCACTGGGAAGATGGAAAGAAAGACCTACTGAAATCCAGTCTCGCAGCCATAGAAGCCCATAGCCTTAAACTCAAAACCCTTCATCCTGAGCCGTCTGAGGTGGACCTGGCGCAGACCAGCTCGCAGTTCGGGTTCTTGGTGCCCATCGGGTGCGGCATGGTCTGGAGCCTCGCCCCAGAGAATCAAAGTAAAGATTACTGTATGGGTTGCTGTAAGCTTTGCTGTGAGGGCTAGTAACGGTTGGTTATAAGGGAGACTGTAAGGGTTGCTATTGGGGTTGCCTTACAGGTCATCGGTGATCTCATCTCTTGGGTGGTAGTTTTGCTGTTGATGTATTGAGCCATGTAATCCAACCTGGCACTCGCAATCAACGGTTTTTCCTGCTTTCAGGAACATCATGATCCGCGCGGGATTTCTAGACAAAGCTCTGGCGGTGCTCACATGTGGTGCCTTGGCGACATTGCCACAAAGAACCAACATCTGACTAGTAACCCCTATAGCTTTACGCAAGCCTTACACTAACCTTGATCATACCCCTATAGAGTGAAGGGCTCACGGGGTTCTTTGGCTGTCCGTGGCTGGAAGCCAAGGATGGAGAACTCCCAACAACTGCGGTCTGGTTCTGCAGGAGGTCAAGTATTGCATGGGCTACTGCAGGTGGGGAAGCCCTAAACCTTGAGCCTTAAACCGTACGCATCACACCGGTTTAAACATCGAGAAGGTAGGAACTCAATCCTGCATGTCGACAAGTAGCCGCACAACCCGATAGGGCTTGGCATTGTCCTTTTCTATACTGTAATATACTATGTAAATGTCTGCTCTTGTATACTACGCTAGACTATAACAGGTTATTTTAGCCATAACAGCTAGCACCTTCTAGAACATGCTTATAATGTACTACAAGGAACATGTCGAATACATCGGAAGAAGATGTGCAATCGTTTGGATCTTCTGCTATGGAGGCAGTTTTTCGTATTGTCTCAGCACCTGCACCAAGTACGAGGCCTTAGAATTCAAACCTTAAATCCTCGGCCCTAAGCCCGAAACGCCAGACCCCAAACCCTAAACCCCGAACCCGAAACCGAAAACCCAAAAGTCTTCGCTGAGGGCTCGACAACCGCCAGCCCGAAGCGGCCCGAGCTTCGCGAGCGGCAGAAAACGCGTAATGCCAGCCCCTGGGCACCTCCCACGGAGTAGTATAAAGGAGACACCCTAATGCCGGCACATCCTTGCGACAAGGGTTTGACCCGCAACCCTTCACGAGTTGGAGCCGGCCCCCTTCCTGACAAGCGTTGGAACCCCTCCGACCCTTTACGAGTTGGAGCCGGCCCCCTTCTTGACAGGGTTGGACCCCCAACCCTTCACGAGTTCGAGCCAGCCCCCTTCTTGACAAGGGTCGCATGGAGCCGGCCCCCTCTTGACAAGGATTGGACCTCCCCCTACCCTTCACGACTTGGAGCAGCTGGCAACAGTCGCCGAAAATCTAAAATCGACCCTTTGGGGCTTTCGTGCCTTCTTGACAAGGGTTGCGCCCCCCAACTTTCACCGCACAGAAAGCCCACTGATTCTTCCGGCGCCCGCCAGGACAGCCTTACAGAAAGCCCGCATTGAGAACCTGCCAGCACAGCTTCAAAGAAAACCCAATCCAGAAAGGGACAGACTTACAGAAAGTCCACATGCATTGCTGCTTGTTTGCCAAACTCCGGCCGCACAGCCTCACAGGAAGCACTGTTTTTCCGGCACCCGCCAGGACAGCCTTGCAGAAAGCCCACGTGAGAACCCGCCAACACAGCCTCACAGAAAGCCCAATGCAGAGAGGGACATTCAGAGAAAACCCATATGCATTGCTGCTTGTCATTCGCAATTCCCGCCAGCACAGCCTCCTAGAAAGCCCGGCACCTGCAAGGACAGCCTTGCAGAAAGCCCACATGAGAACCCGCCAGCAGAGCCTCACAGAAAACCCAACCCAGGAAGGGACAGACTCACAGAAAACCGACATGCAGTGCTGCTTTCGATTCTGCCTGAAACCCTACTGAACTCTAAACCCCCAAATCCCAAGATGCCGGACCTTTGGGGCAGGTTCTTTGCAGTGGCCGCCATCGCCTTGGCCCGGCTTTGCACCGGAAACGAAGTTCTTCCTCAGAGCCAGGCGCGATGATCACGACCAGCTGGCTAGGAGTTCCGAAAAATTGGGCATTGCATGTACCAGCTTTGGTTGTATGTGCGTGTGTGCGCACATATTTGTATTTTTTTGCTAATACATGTATATGTGTATTCATGTATGTATGTATGTATGTATGTATGTATGTATGTATGTATGTACGCATGTACGTATGCATGTATGTATGCAGGTACACATGTATCCTAAACACTGATGGCCTTGACGACGACCCGAGAGACAGAACCTAAGTGGCAAGATCCTTAGCGAACAGATCTCTAAATCAGGTGTCCCGAAATAACCATGGAAACCCACAGAAGCTAGCCCTGCACAGGATCTTTTACCCACGTTGAGCGTTTTGAGGTCTTCGGTTTCACGGTTTAGTGTTTAGGGATCGGTGAATGTTGTAGAAGTCGTGCAGATCGCCAAAAGCACAGAACCTCAGACTCTAGACCGATCCACTCTCCAATCTTCGTATTGATGCATGCAAAGAACTCTACAGCAGACCGAGCTTTGCAGTAGACCAAACGAGACAGTTGTTTGGTTTCGCATCAACACCTGCATCTGCCAATCGGCTTTTCCTCCTGCTCTGCACTGCGACCATCGTGCTCTCCGAAGTCGCATTCCGCTGCCTCCGAATTGTGGAAATCCGAAACCGACTGTGGACATGCCTGACAAAGAAATTTTGGATCGCCTTTTCGCTACGAAGCGGGCCGAAGCTGGCCCATGACCTTCTTTGGATTCCGGCTCCGAATCTGAGGAAACCTGAGGGAATGACTGTACTGTTCGACAGAAAAGCAATTGAAAGGCTTTGCCAGCCACTGCTGTTTTTGTACGGAGACGACTTGGAGCCTTCCCAGATTCCTCATGCAGCCGACTGCGCGTAGTCGGCCTTGACGGTTGTTGATTACCTCGTGTCTGGCACAGAACTCCTTGACTGATAATGGCAATAATGGTAATGATAGTAGGAGTAGTCGTATAGTACACATGATGGTAACAGTTTTCAGAATTGTAGCAATGCAAGCTGTGTCTTGTGAGGAGCCTCTGGGCTGGGCTGTGGTCGCGATGCTGGTTGGCGAGATGATTGAAGATCTCGTCTCCTGGGTGCTCGCCTCTCCGACAGACAGTGTGGGTGGGACCTGTTTTCGGGTTTAGGGTTCAGGATCTTGGTTGTGGTTCCTACGGCGGCAGAAATGACATGAGTCGTGCTAAGGACAGGAGGGGTTTGCGTGTGCACCCAGAGCCGCGCCAGATCACAGACGAGGAGGTGCGGTTTGTAGAGAGATGCAGGATCTGTGGCTTGCGAAGCTCTAAACAGCTTCAGGCACCCTGGATGACCCAGCTACGATCCGAAAGCTTTAACATAAGAAGCACAGGCCCAGCGCTTCGAACGGCCGCAAAGGCAACTGATGTAGCTCCAAACAAAGGCTGCCGGATGTGAGGTCTTCAGGACCGGATGAATCCTAGGTCCTGGACAAAGCGCCCACGCACTTGGGTAGTTCTCTAAATTGGGGTCCCATTTTTGGGATCCCCAATATAGTACGGCACCCTTATAAAAAGGGATCCCCAAAAGGACCCTAATTTACAAAACTGCCCTCTTGTGTTTGGGTCTTCAGGTTGAGATCCTTGTCGTCAACGAGATGAAAAGCAGTCAGGGCTCTCTTGCCTCACTTAGCCCACCATTCAAAGCCGTGGTTCCGAGAGCTTGGCTCGCTGACACAGCGGACGATGTCGCTACGACCGCTACGACTCCCAGGCTATCAGCACAGATGAGGCAGTCGCTTGGGTTACTGTTTCGGACATTTTTCCGCTCCAGACAACCAGCAAAGCTTATACACACTCATACATACGCACACACATACATTGATTTACATAAACACTATAACACATGATATAAGATATGATACATAGATATTTATTCTGCTGTTGCAGCCAAGGAAGTGTTGGAAGATCCGGGCGGCCTTGGATTTTGCGTACAAGGAAACCGAGTTTGAGAAGCTCCCGTTCTGGGCACATTTCAGTGCCATTGCAATGGCCCAGTTTCACACCGTTCTGTTTATCATCATCTTGTCAAACGGCGCAAGCTACGTCTTCGGCTTGTGCCCAGAATCAGGATACACAGGTGTAGGGCGAGGATTGCTATGGTGGCCGGTGACCGACCCAGGCGAGCTTTGCGACTAAGTCGCAGGGGCGGCTTGGGATCGTATGGTGATTTTTTTTTGAAGACGGCCGCCCTCGTGCACGAAAGTTTAAGGCTCCCGTCTCGTTCGAGGCGCAGATCCGGATCTGAATCCATCACCTTCAGGCGCCCGGTATTGGAAGATGACTGTGATGCAAATGGGTAGTTGTCTAAATATTAGGGTCCCTTTTGGGGTCCTTGTTGTAAGGGTGCCCTATTATATTGGGGACCCAAAAAGGGACGCTAATTTAGAGAACTACCCAAATCCAGTTGCATCAGCTGCGGCTTAGAGACATGCGGGGCCCAACTCAAACATACTGGGAGAACCAGACATCTTCCAAAGCTGTGCCCATAAAGGGAACAGCACGCCTCTTGACGCTTTTATGAACCACAGATGGGTGGGGGGCCCTTTCCGGAATACTTGCATCGCTCTACGCAGATGGCCAGAGTGAGACAGATCGGAAGGTTTACATTCATCTTGCTTTGCTCCCAAGAAAGACCCAGAGTTTCTGCTTCTGCGGCCTTGAGCCAAGGAGGAGTCGACCGACGACGATGCAATGCTCGATGCCCACGCCGGGAAGCAGGATCCTGGGCTCGTGGTGAAGTGGAAGTGTCGCCTTGATGGTTCTCGAAGAGTTTAGGGTTTAGGGTTTAGGGTTTGGGGTTTAGGGTTTAGGGTTTAGGGTTTAGGGTTTAGGGGAGCTCGACGGCAGTCTAGGATCATGAAGGGTCATCGTGGGCTTATCATTGTGTTGCCAAACATGGGAGGTTCGCTCGTGTTTCAATAATCATTCACGCCGATGGGGGTTCCGTCCTTTGACGCCTTGACAGTCGCTTTGTGGTTTGGCCGAGACTTTGTCAAGGGTCCGCACATCGCGGTGCTTCCCTAAACCCTAAACCCTAAACCCTAAACCCTAAACCCTAAACCCTAAACCCTAAACCCTAAACCAATCACCACGATGTCGGACCTGGACCCTAAAATCCACATGGTTTCCCATGGCAGAGCTCGTGCCAGGACAAGATTCTGGGCTTTGAGATTGCTCAGCGTGGATCCCAGTCGCCTGCCCGGCAAGCTTGAGGGGTGGAAGGTAGCTTTCGTCTTGCAGATCACCCGGCTCTCCTCCATCCGAGAGGCTTGCATCCAGGGTCACCAAGAATATTCAAGACGTGGGATGCTGTTTGGGCCGTGGCACACAAGAGTCTTGTCCAACGGCTTCTGAGTCGAATCGCCTTGAGCATAGCTCCATCGAAAATCTTGGGCTTTCACTGGATTCATGCTGGGTCCCCCCTTAGCCACATTCTCTTGCCTGTGCCAGTGCTTTCATGGTCAGTGCGGTGTCGCCGGGAAGCTGGGCGACACGTCACCGAATCCGCGTGGGCAACGCGGGGCCGGCATGTATTGCTCCTGAGAAGCAAGGGTTTCGGTTGAGGTTGTCTGCTGGGTGCTGGCCCATCGAGAGAAGTTCCCTGCCACGTGGTCAGCAATGCTGTCGTCCTGATCTCAATTAAGATGGTGGGCCGTGACGTTTGTCAGGACCATGCTTCACCCTTACCACCATCACCATCATTATCATCACCATCATCACCATCATCATAATCATCATCGTCATCATCGTCATCATCGTCATCATGGTCATCATCGTCATCTTCACCATCATCACCATCATCAACATCATCATCATCATCATCATCATCATCATTTATGACCACCGCCACGAGCATGATGATGGTGAGGATGATGATGTTGATGATGATGGTCCTTCGTGGTGATGGCCGTAGCGATGCTGATGATGATGGTGATGGTGATTCTTAGCACTATGTACTTCTGCTACGACTCGTACAACTCTACTGTATCCATAATCACTGCTAACATTGCTGCTGTTGTGATCCGAGCTGTTGTTGCCAAATCCTATCGATACTGTCATTCTGCTCTACTCATTCCTGAGAGGTTGGTAGCACGTACTGACTGACGGCTGTTGCGAGTAGAGCCACCTGTTGAATCGTGTCCGCAACCTTCCTCTTGCCATCGTCCGGCCCGGTAGCCGCCAGCTGCCAGGAGCTAGTTTCCATCGGAGACAAATCGGCCAAGAAGCTGACTTTGGAGGAATCCGGGACTGGGGGCGTGGTGAGCTAGTAGACTTTTCACATCACTCAACATGTGGTTGTGCAAATTTATGGTCCCTTTTTGGGTCCTTATTATAATACGGCACCTATTTTTTAGGGTACCCCAAAAGGGACCATAATATTGTCAACTACCCATGTGGTATGTTCTCAGGCTCAAGGCCAGGAAGTCCGAAAAAACTGAGTGTATCTAAGCTGCCACTGAAGGTTTTTGCAGGATCAACAGGGGATCTCACGTCAGCTCTATCGCAAGGAGGTCAAGACGATGCTCTCCCCAGATGGCGCTTTTGACTCAGACTTTTTGATGGTCTGTGTGGAGGTGCGCGATGGTGCCGTGGGCGTTCCCAGTGGGCTACCTCATCTCAGAAACTAGTGAGACATTCTATGTACTCTACCCTGCACACGTGTGTGCAACCTTCCGAAAAAATCTTTGTCTGTTGGTGTCGTTTTATCCGAGAACGTGTCGAACGACCAGCACATGGGGAATGCCCCTGTGTGTTTGGCAAGCAAAAATGATGTACTGCCTGCTCCAGAATTTCGTGAAGTTGCAGCACCACCGCAGAAGAGAGAACAACCGTCAGAATTCCTGTGGCTTCCGGGTAGGTGTATAGATCAGCAGCAGATGGTGAACCCAAGAAGCGTCCAATTCGAAGTATGCTTGGTATTATTCTATGCTCGTTATCGTCAGCCTTAGTCTTCCCCAATACCTAGGCCTAGACGCTGAACCCTAATTTGGGGGTTTCCGAAAATAGGGACCCTAATATAGTACTCTAATAGTAGGATCCTTATTATAAGGACCCCAAAATAAGCTACCCCTGATTTTCGGAAACTCCCATTTGTTTTCGTAATTGTCATTGAAGGTCTCTTGATCAGTCTATATCACGTAATTAAACCCTAAACCCTAAACCCCCCCAAGCCTTAAGCTCTATACCCTGAACCCAAAGCCCTAAACCCTAAAACCTAAACTGTAAACCCTAAACCCTAAACCCCTAAACCCTAAACCCTAAACCCCAAACCCTAAAACCCTAAACCCTAAAACCCTAAACCCTAAACCCTAAAAAAACCGTAAAACCCTAAACCCTAAACACCCCCAAGAGCACCAAATTTTTTCAGTGCTTCTCTCGAGGTCCGGCCGCTGATCCTGTGGTTCCGTGCTGACATGGGCGGTTGATCCCTTCGCCCCGAATGGTTTGAGGTTTATGGGTTTAGGGTTTAGGGTTTAGGGTTTAGGGGTTTCGAGTTTAAGTGCTTAGGGGTTTAGGGTTTAGGGGTTTAGGGGTTTAGAGTTTAGGGGTTTATTGCTTGTTATTGGACCTGCTTATGGGGTTTTTAATTTCTCAGGGCAACCTGTAAAGCCCCAAAGCTCTAAGGAACCCTGAACCCTGAAACCTTTAGCCCCAAAGCTCTAAAGAACCCTAAACCCCAAAGCCCCTAGGTTTACGCTTGAGGGCTCTTTTGGGTGCCTGAAAAGTCCTCAGCCTTGGGATGCCGCGGGGCCTGTCTGGTTTGAGCCACGTGGGATTTCTTCAAGCAAAAAGCACCAAGCCCCAAACCCTAAACCGAAAACTCAAAACCCAAAACCCTTAAGCCCAAAACCCTAAACCCAAAACCCTAAACCCAAAACCCAAAACCCTAAACCCAGAAAGCCCTAGACCCAAGTGAATTCCGGGGCCCCTTGTTTCGGGGATCCTCCTCCTGTTTTGCTGTCTGGTGCTTATTAGGGAATGGGGGAATGGATCCCTATGATAGTCCCTTAAGGTCCCTTATAGTAATCCCTATAACCCATTCCCCCATTCCCTATAAAGCACCGGACAGTTTGGCCTGAAGTTGTGATCTTCCACTTTTCTGGAAGCTCCCGAGCAGCTGCCCTCGTCTTGTACTTTAAATACGGTTTAGGGTTTAGGGTTTAGGGTTTAAATTTTAGATTATGTAGAAGTAGAGCATATTTTAGGGTTTAGGGATTAGGGTGTAGGGTTTAGGAGTATAGTATGCATGCGTGCAATGGAGTACGGTAAATTATATTGTAGTATACTACACTATTATAGTATTTTGCGGTACATCCTACTCCGAAGCCTTAGATGCCAACTTCCTGGAACGGTTTCATTGCGCAGAGAGCTGCTGCTCAACTGTATATATGGTACCAGTTAATGCAGCGTCCTTCCCAGATGCCTGAGGCATTCTGAGGGAATGCATGGATCTGTACATAAGAGCATGAATGATGGACTTATCCAGCCTGCTCTCTGAGTCCGTGCTAGTTAACACCAAAGAAAAGCTCCGGTTGTGTGTTATGTTATATACATGACATACATGCATGTTACATGCATGAGGAAATGTATGAATATGCACACGCACACATACAAGCAATGTCAATGTTTGCAACCCATATTGCAACTCGCTCTGTCTCTGCATCTGTCTATCCACCTACCTAAAAACCTACCTACCTACCTACCTATCTACCTACGTACCTATCTATCTATCTATCTATCTATCTATTATCTATCTATCTACCTGCCTATCTATCTATCTGTCTATCTATCTGTCTATCTATCTGGCTATCTATCGATCTATCTATCTGTCTATCTGTCTATCTGTCTATCTGTCTATCTGTCTATCTATCATCTACCTATCTATCTATCTATCTATCTATCTAATACATGCATATATACATCTTTCTTTCAAACGCTGCAAAGAGGTCTTCGCTTGGCGAGGCTTTTATGACGGGTGGCCACCCCGGCTCGAATGAGCACCGTGCTTTGCACGGCTCCGGAAAGCGCGCTTAGCGCATGTCTCAAGAGTCGTCGATGAAGAACATGACGAAGTAGAGTGACGGCCTGGCACGGATGCCCCACTTGCCGTCTATGCGCGTGGGTCACTGGAGCTGGTAAAGATATACAAAGCCATTCGTGAATGCTAAAGCTGGCAGTTCTTGCAGGAGCTGCGGACTTTTGCCATCATCACAGAAGGAGTGCCGATGTCGCTCGCATTGGGAGTAGAGCAGTGCTCTATAATGTCCGGAAGCAGGACTCGCTCCTTCATGAACGATTATGGCTCGAAGACAGTAAAGCTTGGGCTGCATCGCAGTACTGGCAGGGAGTGCATCGGCATCTGAGGAAAAGCACTGCATTGTTAGACACGGGTCAGGGTGTATGGGGGTCAGATCCCGTAGTGGGCGAGTCCCGTCATATCCGAATCGGTTGACTTGGACAGCTAAAAGAGGTGGAGCCGAGTCCAGCGCCGTGATACCATCTGCAGCCTGAGTAAACCAATGGTGAAGTATGGTCTGCAGAAGGAGGGGGTGATCAGGGGAGTGGAGAAGCTGGGCAGGTGACACGGCGATGAGCAGAGGCCATGTCTCCCCGCGATCACGCACCTCGCAAATGGGCGTGCCCGTGTTGGCGTCATGATCCAGGAGCCGACGCTGCCAGCCTCCATGGACGAGGTGTGGAATGATATACCTGCGGGCAAAGTGTAGGTATTCCGCAGCATCGTGCTGCACATGAGGTCGATGCCAGTGAGAATGCAACATCGACCAAGGCAGGAATGTCCAGAGATCAGGCAAGCGAGCCTGGGAGCTCATTCGTTGCATGATCGATTGCATGGCCGGTATCCAAAGGTCCTGGGCGACAGGCAGATGCATCATAGTCCAATTGAGACAGAGCAGGACGGTATTAGCATAGCAGTGATTATTGGAGTTGGAGATACAGGCGGCAGGATGAAGTAAGGCATGGGCAGTCACTTGGAGAGGCGCTTGGCTAGCTCGTTCGCCAACGCCGAGCGTCCCATTCTTTCCATCCTGAGTGACCCTCCGACGAGTTGCCAAATGGAGGAGTGGGTCAGGCTGGTGAGATGGCGATGAAGAAGGTTGGCCTGATCGGTGCGACCCCCCACTTGCAAGATGAAGGGCACTGTGGGTCCCCGCAATGGACCGGCCAGCTTCTGGGTCGCATGAAAGCGAAGGACCGAGAGCGGGTGGAGCGCCGCCTTTTGTATCCCCTCCAGGAGCTCGAGCATGCGGGGAAGAGGAATCGGCTGGCTGTCGCCCCGCGGCTCCAGACGACGACCCTCCTGATTGAAGACAAGGAACGGGATCATGAGCTCGTCCGTCTCCTCCTTGCGGGGCAAAAAGACTTGAAGTTGACGTGCCTGTTCCTGCTTCCCTGATGTCTCCGAGACGGCCTGAAGTCTCTTCGCAAGCTCTGAGATCAG